AAAAAAAAAAAAAATCGTTACAACTTGCCAAAATATTACTCCCTCTCCCCTTCTCTTTGTACACCACCATATACATATGGTCTCCTTCCAGAATAGCACTAGCATGACGAACTACTCTGCTCGGCACTTGGCAGATATGAATTCCTTTAAAGTTTGCAACAACTCTGTGAGATCACTGTCATTATCTCAGTTCTACAGAAGACACGGCGGAGGCTCCAAATGATGGGTTTCCTCAGAGTCACACAAATGGAGGCCATGAAGCTGGGACTCTAATCCAGGGCTCTCTGACTCCACAGCACCTTCCACTACAGTCCTGCTGGTCTCCAAATTCAGTTTTTAACAATGCAACCACCACCCAAGGGGCCCCTAACATTTTCAGTTTGGGTTCTATTTTCTAGTCAGTTAAATCCAGCAAATACTGTATTTGTATTGTTCATACCCACTCTGTGCCAGACCTGTACTAAGGATCCAGAGTGGAGTCAGGCCTACTACCCACCTTTATAGATGACATGATTCAAGAAAGCTTTTCTCAAATTTCATTGACTATGAGCCCACCATAGGAAAAAGATCTTATATGACAGTAAAACACTAAAATAAAAGGTTTCCAAAAGATTATGTCAGAATATGATGACTCTTATATTTATTTTCTAGTCTAGGTTATTCTATTTCAATAAGATGCTGGCTGGTCAGGATCCACAAAATTGATTTAATTGTATAGCGCGTCATATCCCACAGTTTAAAACACCATGGTGCGCAAAAGAGCGGTTTCATATCCAGGATTGTCCAAGCTGCAACCACAGGCCACATGCTGATTTTGTGAGGCCTTTTTCTGCTTATTTGTGGGGTCAGATACCATGAAAAGTATACACAGACCTTTTTTTGCTAATCAGCTTTTGTTAGTGTTTGTATATTTAATGTGTGGCCCAAGAAAACTCATTCTTCCAGTGTGTGGCAGAAAAGAAAAAAGGTTGGATACCCTTGATTGTAAATAGTCAAGTTTTTAGCAGATCGAAAAAAAAATTGCAGTCACTAATAAGAAACAAGATACTGGGGTGGCACCTGTGTGGCTTAAAGGAGTAGGGCACCAGCCCCATATGCCAGAGGTGGCGGGTTCAAAACCAGCCCTGCCAAAACACTGCAAAGAAAAAAAAAAACTAAGAATTTTCACTAACCCCTACCTGTTAGCTCTCATATAGGCTACATGCATATTCATTCACATCGGCAATAATAACAAACAAAGAGCATTCTGTTCTCTAAACATTTCATCAAGGGTTCTGAGATATATTCCAATTAGACAGGCTTTGATCACATGACAATCCCTAAAGCAATCACTATGGCCAGAGAGACTGAATGCAGTGATTGGCTTAGGCTGGTCACATGATCCATTGCTAACCCCTTCCCCCCTTCCGGGAATTAGCTTCCCTAAAACTATATGCATACCCCAAAAAGGAACGAGAAAGCAGAATGGGAGGCTGAGAAGGGAACCCAAGACTGCCCACCACAGGCACATTGTGTACATTATGCAGTAACTCTTTTCTTTTCTTTTTTTTTTTTTTTTTTTTGAGACCAAGGGCACTCACTATGGTACCCTTGGTAGAGTGTGGTGGTGTCACAGCTCATAGCAACCTCATACTCTTGGGCTAAAGTGATTCTCTTGTCTCAGCCTCCCAAGTAGCTGGGACTACAGGCACCCACCAAACACCTGGCTATCTTTTTTTTACTGTATTTGTCATTGTTGTTTAGCAGGCCTAGGCCAGGCTCAAGCTCACCACCCCCGTGCATGTGACTGGTTCCTTAACCACTGAGTGACGGGCACTGAGCCCATTGCATTAACTCTTCACTTGATGCCTAGAAGGTGCAGATCACTGACACCATTTACAGAGGAGGAATGTGAGGCTGAGAGAGGCGAAATAACTGGCCCACCCAGAAGTGGCAAGACTGGATTAGAATTCTGCCCTGACTCGAAGACCCTCGTTCTTGGAGGCAAATACACTTTGTGAAGAGCAAAGCCATGCTCACATGAAAGGGGTTATTATTGTTCACCTGGCCTCACTTCTCAGTGGCAACACTGGAGACCGGGACGGGTGGTAAAGAGGAGGTTTGTAACTTGAGGGGAAAGTCTACCTCTGATGTTCTGAGAAGGAGGAGTAAAATTCCCAACTCTTTAGAAAAGCACTGTAGAAAATTCTATGAATAAATTCATTTTCAGCATTTTTCCTAAGGCATAAATAGGAGTTTCCCACCCTCCATCACTTGTAATTAAGGCACATCCCTCTTCCTAGCCCCTGGTTTCCAGGGAATTTCAGTATTCCAGATAGAAGCTTTCCTTTGCAAGTACAAATTCACATGCAAGTTCTCAGCCTCAGGCAAAATGGCTTTATAGGGTGTTCCCCCACCCCCACCCCCGTTCTGTTTGTTTTAATTTCCCAAAGAACCATCTGCCAAGATTCATAGAATCGAAGACTCTTGAAAAGACTCAGCAAGGAAAGAACCTTTGGAGAAAAGTTGGGCCAAGCCTCCTCTGTTACAAAGAGAAAATGGAGATCCTAGGATGTGGAAGCACAGGTTAAGGGGGACAGAGGAACCCCCTAGGAGCCAGTCACTGAACTAGATTCTTCAAACTACATTAAATCCAATAATTTGTGTACATGCTTAGAATGGCTCCTGCCATAGATAACTGCCCCCCACCAATGGTAATGTTATTAGTATTCTTCTCCATAGATGAATGGATAAAAACATTTTTATTTTTAATATGCAGATAAAGACACCAAACATCATAAAAGTTGAGCAAACTGTCCAAGTTCACACAGTCTGTAAGCTGGAGAGCCAGAATTTGGACCTGGGCCTTGCCTTGCCTCGGCTGCCTTGTTTTCCCTTCCATGATCTTGCCTAGTAAGGCTGAAGCAAGAAGGGGAACCTGGGCTTCTAGGCTTCCTCCACTGTCACCACCCCACCTCGGTGCCTCCAGGTTGCACATCAGGAGAGGGGCCCTGGGACAGCCAAAACAAGGCAAAACAGGTCAAAGGCAAACATGAGGTTATTGACTGGGAGAGCAACATGGGACCCAACAGTGACAGGGACACAGGTCATTCCCACCACTGGGATGAAATCAGTGAGTGATAAGGAAAGATAATTTCACCATGCCTAGAACCCAAACAGGACCTCCCTAAATAGGACTCTCTCCCCTTTGGAAAGAAGCCAAAAGTGGGCCTCCCTGTGAAGCTCAACCCCAAATCCTGCCTCCCTGGACTTCAGATTGAGTCTCTGGTCCACAACTGCCTTGGCATCTTCAGATGCCATGCCAGGACACAATCTCTCTCTCTCCCTCTCTCCTTCTCCACCCCCACGTAACCTCCTAACCTCCTACCTGCCATCCCAAGCTCTTCCTGTTGCAGCTGCAGTTTTCCTTTCTGCTTCTTTTTCAGCCTTGCCAACCTGCTCTCTGGTTACCTGGACACTGTACTCACCTCCCTTCTCCAGGGTTTGCCTTGAACAGTCATCTTTGAGTTGCCCCCTTCATCTCTCTCATTGCCTGACAAAACTCTCTCTTTTCCTGTCTTGGCTTCCTGATTCCTTTCTTGCCGAAAGCTCATGGCAAAATCCTATCTATCCCTATACCTGATATTTTATAATTAGTAACCCCAAGAAATATTATAAAACCCATTAATCTCTGCCTGTGGACTAGAACCCCAAGCCCAATATGTAGACTAGAAAAAGGAAGGCACAGGGAGGTCAAATGACCTCCTGGGGCCATCAGAGTAAAGGAAAGGCAGGAGCAGGAGGAACTCTGATCTCAGGTACCCTCTCTCTGCCCAGGGGCCCTTTGGTGCTAATCACTGCAAAGAAGGCTGGGAAAGTAGAGGGCTTTGTTTCTTAACTGAATCTTCTGTTTGCAGGTCAGTCACTAAAACCTTCCCTTTGGGTCTGGCTTTCCTTTGCAAGTGTTTCCTACTGATGCTGGGGTGGAAGTGGGGGATTTTCATCCATCAACAGCTGCCCCTGGGTAGGAAGCTGGAGGTACTGGGAGTTGAAGTTAGAGTAGAAAGGGAAGTCTGGACACCTTGTTTCTATTTAAGTTTCATCTTTTATGGATACGTACCTGGGAGGAGGAATCACTGGGTCTCAAGAGTACATTTGCCACCATTCAATAAAAAAAAAAAAAAAAAGAGTACATTTGCCTTCCATGTGATGAAATCTTCTGCCAAAGAGTGTTTAGCAGTGGACTCTCCACCAGCAGTGCTCCACAGCCCCCACCCTTGACCTCTCATTCTGGCCATGTGATTGGAAAGGTCACATCTGACATCTGCTTACTCCACTGGGGTGTTTCTGCTTCTCTCCTGCCCAGATGTCAACAGCTGGCTGCTTACCTTTGGATTCCAGCTGCACAATGTGATCCCTGGCTATCCCAAACCAGACATGGATGCCATGGAACCATCCTACGAGCTCGTCCACACACAGATGAAAACTCAGGAGTGGGACAACAGCAAGGTAACTCCTGCACACAGCTGCCTCTTCCTCAGATCCTTCAAATGTTATAAGGCGGTGCCCCCAGCTTTTCAGGAAAATTTGGACCAATGATAGTACCTCCACAGTGCCTGCCAGAGACTGCTTAGCTGCTTAACAACCACTCAGTGACCCTACCACTAGGGACCCAGCAGTAACAGCACACGTACACTCACAAGCTACGTTAAGGAGCTTTGTGTGTTGCACTGAGTTCAGAATGCCACAAAAGTAGGAAGCCTTTGTCACTATCCAGAGCAAAGGTGCAAGGAGAGAAGGGTCTTCTACATACAAATGTGAATTTGAGCACCTCAGTGCACCTGGCCTTGTATGAAGCAGTGTACCTAAGTTAACTCACAAAGATCCCACAGTAATCTTAGTTACCTCACAAAGATCCCACAGTAATCTTATCTCATTTTACAGACTTCTTGCCCAAGGCTTTCCCAATGCCACACAGCAAGGAAGAGATGGGACTGGGATTCAAATCCAGATTTTATCTGTTCTATACCATCTTGCTGAGTGCAGTGCCTGGCATACTGTAGGTGCTCAAAAAGTGTTACTTTCTCTTGTCTTCCTTTTATGACCTAATTTCAAAGACTCAATTATATAGCTAGAAAGGTCCTTGACGACAGTCGCATCCCACCTCTCGTTCATGCATTCATGTGTTCATTTCTTCCCTCCTCTGTGACCCCATTTATAAATTCTCCACTAGGAGTCCCTACTCTGTGCCAAGCCCTACGCTGTGCCCAGTGGGCTCAGGAATGAATCAGGCAGAGATCAAGCCTTCAGGGGAGTCCCTGCCCAGGGGAGAACAGACTGAGGAGGAAAGCCGGGTTGCCAGATGGCATATTGCTGCTGGTTGGAAACTTTTACATCCATGTAGCTCAGTGATCCAGATGGATTCCTACAGGCCTCATTTTAGCGGTTGCCTTCCACCAGCCTCTGGAGAATGAGGTTCTGCACTCTGTGCTCTGGTGGTACCCTCTATCTTCCTCTTGCAAAGCTCTTCCATGCTGCATTTTAATGCCTGTTTTCCCTCTTATCTCTCCACCGGACTGTGAGCCCCAAGAAGGTAAGTACTGGGTCTCCTTTGGTACCCAGCACAGGAGCTAACACATGGTATTCAAGTTTTGTTGAATAAATAAATGGCTGAAAGGAGTAAATAGCCAGTGCATTAAGTATCTTTCCCCATTTTAGAGATGAGGAGACCCACCTTTCAGAGAGAAGCCTGCCCACAGCCACTCAGATGGAAAGCAGCTAAAGCCACAGAGCATCTAAGTCTGCCTGGCTATAGGGCCCCTCCTCTTCCTGCCCCCGCCTCTGCTGCCCCTCTCTGCTGCCCCAGCCCTCTCCAGTCCCCACCACCCCCAGGCCCTGCTGAGGTGTCCGGGAACCTGCCATTCCCAGGGCTGAGCCCGGCAGTGCAGCTCTGCCCGCCCCTCTCCACAGAGCCAGCCTCTGACTGCCTGTCTGCCAGCCTCGCCTGTCAATGAATTATTGATTTCTGCCCTTGGCAAGCATTGGAGATCTTTGTTGTTGAGCACTCCAGCTTTCGTGAAACTCCAGGAAATAATTGTTCACAGACAGGGTTCTATTAATTATAAAGAGGACTTAATTTCCGCGAGAAGCTGATAGGCCTCTTTCTAAAGCCATTTCCCTGAGTTGCAGGTTGGCCCTGGAGCCTTCCTGAACATGGTTTTCTGAGCTCTCTGAGTCCTGAGAGAGGCACGTAGATGCTCCCAGGATTCAGAGAGCTCGGAAACCTGTCCCACAAAGCACCCAAGAGCAGAAACACCTAAGGAGCCCCAGGCATGCACGCTGGGGCCAAGGTCTTCCTTGAAAATTGTGTGGAAACATGGTGGAGTACAGTAAAGCAGGGAACTTCTCCTTTTTATGCCTTCAGGCCAAAAATGCATTTTTCGCCATTTCTCCATCTAACAACGATCAAGTCCCAACTCAAGCAGAGCCTGTCCTCAAACCCTGGCTTCTCCACCTCTCTCCTCCATCTTCGGGCTGAGATTCTTTGGGGCTTTTCTTGACCCTCCTTATTCCAGCAACCCTTGAAACTGAGCCTGCAGAGTCAGGCCCGGTTTGAATGTTGACTTATTAGTTGTATGACTGTGGGCCAGTTACAACCTCTTTCAGCTTTAATTTCCTTACATATAAAGTTAGAATAATAACAGTACCCACTACATAAAGTTATTGTGAAGATCAAACTAGACAATGAATGATAATTGTTTGGCTCAAAGATCAAGAAATGTCACTATTACTGTTCCCTCTCTTAGACCACCAGTTATCACGTTTGATTGCAGTTAATGTTGTCATATCTGTCTCTCTCCATTAAACCATGAGTTCTTTAAGGGAAAGGATACTGTCTGATTCATTTTTGTGTCTCCAGTGCTCAGAAAGGGACCTGGCACAGATTAGATTCTCCCTAAACAGTCTCTGAATAGAAGGGTGGGTGATTGATGGATGAAGGCAGACTGGATGCTCTGATGGTCATCAGTAGAGACAGATGGTGCAGGTTAATAAATGTAAATTGGACTTCATAAATGTAAATGTAAGTGTAAATTGGACTTCGTTACTTAAGCTGATTCTCCTTTTTCTTACTCTTTCTCTCACTCTCCACCCCCACCAGTCTATCCTTGGAGTACAGTGTGAAGTACAGAAGCAGCTCAAGGCCTTCGTCACCTTAGAACGCTTTGACCAGCTCTATGGCTCCACAATCACCAGCTGCCAGCAGGCCCCAGAGACAAAGAAGTTTGCATCCAGTGGCTCAGTCTTTGGCAAAGGGGTCAAGTTTGCCTTGAAGGATGGCCGAGTGACCACAGACATCATCAGTGTGGCCAACGAGGATGGGCGGAGGGTGGCTGCCATCTTGAACAATGCCCGTTACCTAGAGAACCTGCACTTCACCATCGATGGGGTGGACACCCACTACTTTGTGAAACCAGGGCCTTCAGAAGGTGACCTGGCTATCCTGGGCCTCAGTGGGGGGAGGCGAACCCTAGAGAATGGGGTCAACGTCACTGTGTCCCAGATCAACACTATGCTCAATGGCAGGACTAGACGCTACACAGACATCCAGCTCCAGTATGGGGCACTGTGCTTGAATACCCGCTATGGGACGACGCTGGATGAGGAGAAGGCGCGGGTGCTGGAGCTGGCCCGGCAGAGAGCCGTGCGCCAGGCTTGGGCCCGAGAGCAGCAGAGACTGCGGGAAGGGGAGGAAGGCCTGCGGGCCTGGACAGAGGGGGAGAAGCAGCAGGTGCTGAGCACAGGGCGGGTGCAAGGCTACGACGGCTTCTTCGTGATCTCCGTCGAGCAGTACCCAGAACTGTCAGATAGCGCCAACAACATCCACTTCATGAGACAGAGCGAGATGGGCCGAAGGTGACAGAGAGGGCCAAGGCCTGGACTTCTTGCCAAAGACAGCTACTCTTTTGTGGCCGCATACCTGACTGTGTTGTACTTTAAAAACAAAATCCTTTTTTAACAAGTGCAGAAAACAAACAAAATGATACTGGTTGCATTGTAATTCATGCAACATCCTTTTTTTTAAGAAAAGAAAAACACAAATTTGGCCTTCACACATTTTTTGCAAAGGACAGAAGGTATTTTTTTTTTCTGTAGTGTGATCACAATGAAAACTTTATTGTCTTTTGTTCCTAGAGGATTTTTCCTTGTTGTTTGGGGTATGTTTCTCCTCTCTGAGACACATCTCCTGGGGTGTGTCCTTGTCCGTCCCTCAGTACCCAGTGTGATGTGAGACACGAGTGTCTGTGCTAACTTGTCTCATGTGCAACCCTTTCTTCTCCGATTGGGGTCAGGCAGGAGTGATGGGTGCAGACAGTAATGGGCCAGTACAACATCCCTTCCAAGGGGGCCTGGGAGGTGAGTCTTAGGACCTGAAGCTCCTTGGCTAAGCTCCCACAGCTGAGTGGTGGGTTTTTACTCACTGTGGTCTATGCCTCTGGAGGACCACAGGTGACATCATCTTGCTCCGGGGAATTTCATGATGTCATTCAGCACCTTTTTCAAGCTGCCCCAAACTCCTGTCCAAGCTTTATACTTTGATGCTAAATGAAACCCCCACCCCTTTTGCAAATCCCGTGTAGTTGTCAGTGCCACCTCCATGCTGGGATAGAGAAAGTGTCTCCCAGGTCCTTTTCCCCAGTCTGGTGACATAATATCTTGGGACCAAAAGCCTCATCCTCCCCAGGAGGAGAAAGTTCCCGGATGTCTGTGCTTAGTTGATCTTCCATGAAGTTCTTTTTCATCTCCTCCTCTCTCCCAAAGCTAGATGTGAGAACCAGCACTGCACAGCAGGCCCTTAATGTGGGCACCATGTCCAGGGATGGGTAGGTACCCCTGCAAAGGGATGACAGAGGTGGCAAGGGCACAGCCTGCCTCCCGAGGGGAAACCCTCGCCCCATGACTTGGGTGTCTTCCTTCCACTGCTCAGCTGCCACCACTGAGAATTGAGAATTAGGAGTATGGCAGGACATGCTTGGTGGCCTTTGATTCTGGAAAGATGCTTAAGAAAACCATGAGCCAAAGAGAACAAGGGCATGAGCCAAGCATCCTAACTAACTCCTGAAGTCTCCTCTGCCTCTCATATATGGGCTGATTGCAGAGCTGGGATGCAGCAGGATAAGCTTTCAGGAAATCCCTGAAGTTCTTATAGAACAGCTTCACCTCTAGAGAAGCCCAGCCAGGGTTTTTTTTTTAAAGGTAAGGAGAAAAGAGGAAGAGCCAATTTGGTGTGAACTGCCTGCCACCAGGCTCGGGGGCAGGTCCTAAGGCAGGTGCCTCTGGATCTGGAAGGCCAGGCTGGCATGGCTTCTGCGGAGACCTGTGCTTGCATTGTCAGGAAGAGGCTCAAGCCCCCTCAGGAGCAAGGCTAGCCCCCATCTGAAGGACAGGGCAGGGGACACCGTAAGGACAGGGAGAGGAACAGCACGAGTGAAGGGCTCCTTGTTCAAAGATTCCATTCCTGGTTCATCTACCTAATTGCCATTGTCATCCCCACTCACAGGAGGCTCTGGGAGACAGGAGGGGAAGCCAAATGCTTCCTTTTAAGCTGGGCTTCTTAGAAAATGGGACTTTTATGGGTTACATTTACATTAAGTGTGGAAAATGAATTCTGAGTCTGAGCTATTCCCCGTGGAAACCTTGTTGGACTGATAAGCTCATGGCACCTTTATAGCCTTACTCACAGAGTCTCCAGAATATTACACGAGTTAATGAAACCAAGAAGGTCTCTTACTGCATAAGAATTGGAGCAATGTGTGGTCTGAGTTCTGCTGGCAGAGGGAGGTATGTGGAGCTTCTCCGGGAGCAGAGATTTCGCCTTACGTCATCCCACTGGGATTAAGGATGTGTTTTGCTAAGTGCTCTTTCCTGTTTCCAAAAAAGTCACACTGCCATGACAGTGTGCCTCAGCCTGTCTGTCCACTGGTTGCCCATCGCCTCTGGTCCAGGGCTCTGCCAAGTCAGTTTCAGTGCTCCTCAGCCCCACCGTGCATAGCATGAGCTGGGATGGGGACTCTCATCTGGCAGGATTGTTCTTGGATGGGAAAACAGTTTGACCTGAAGGACACAGTTTTTTGGTTGTTGTTTTTTTGTTTGTTTGTTTTGTTTGTTTTTGTTTTTTATCCAAAAGAGATTTATGCCTCTCAGAATGTACTCTTAATGCAAAGGGCCCTTGGGCAAAGCTCTCCTGCCCAGTTGATCAGCCCCATCCTGGCTGCCTGAGACCAATCAAGATCTGCTGGGCACTTGGAGGTCAGAGAAAGCGTGTGGTCCAGGGAAACCATCATCCCCACACTTTTCTAGCCCTCTGTCCTCCTCCACTGCCACTTCCCCAAAGAAATGTGTGGACTTTTAAGGATCAAAAAACATAGAATTATCGGGCATTTCTTTTTTTAAAAAGAATGATCTTGTGGTTTTTCTGGGCTACATACCACGAGAGAGGCCCAGCTTCTGTAGAGGGAGAAGTGGAAGATCCCCAAGCTTTAGAGAAAGAATGTCAGCTGTGAAACAGGTGGCATGAGGCACCTCAGTTTCACTTGGGTGCTATTGTGCTGGAGATGGCACTTCGGCCCTTCTGTTTGGTTTCCATTCAGGCTGGCAGTGCCTCAGTGCATCCCCTCTCAACCTAATTTCTCACTGAGATCAGCAGTTCCAATCCCATGATGAGGGGGTGTTTGAAGGCATAAGCCGGAGTTCCCTGTATCTACTTAGCGGGCTACAAGCATCAACTCTCATCCTGATGGCACCTGCCCTCTTGGCACTAACCGACCCAATCTGTCCATTTGTTAGCATGACCGGCCCTCCCTCACTGGCCCAGGTTCATGACCATGCGGGACGTTCTAGCAGAAGGTCTATTTTACAGTAGCTCCTGCCTTCCCCACCCTGCACAGCTGCCAGTTGCCCCTCATCCCCAGTCCCTCTCCTGCTGCCTGATTCCCCACCTTTGTTTTTCATACGGGATTTCCTTTTCCCCACCCTCCCAGCAGCACTGGAGTGCAGAGCTGTGACACAGGAAGAACGGGAAGGCACTCCATGGTAAACTGCGCCTCTGCCGGCCTCTGACACTTGTCTCTCAGAATTGTTGGCTGAGAATTAACCCCAGGACCACACCAGTGCCCAAATTCCACTTAGGTATGGAGGATTTGAAACATTCTCTAAGAAACTGAGTGGAAGGTGAGGATGCCCAGGAGGTGTGCTTTCAAATAACCAGGATGGGGCGCCAGCAGATGTGGAGGGCAGGGATGTGAGTTGAACTAGGTGATATGTTACAGACGTGGAACAAGGAGTACACATTTTGAAAAAGAAGAAGGACCTTTTCAGCTGTTACTTTTAGTATCACCTTTCTAGATGGCAGGGATGTCCATTATGCAAAGACAAGGCTTTCCAAGTGAAATCTTAGAATGCAGTTTTACCATTTGCAGCCTTATATTTGCAGTGGCCACATGGTGAGGGCAGTGATGCTGAGCTTTGTACCCAGGAGGAATGAAGCCCGCAGCAGGGTCCCGGGCTTTGGTACGTGATCACCAGAGGCTCAAAGTCCAGTCTATTCTCCATTCCTCACAGCAGCCCCTAAGCCCAGGACCTGGTCCTGGTCCTGTCAGGGCACCCGATTCCCGAGGGGTGCCAGTAAGAACCCAGGCTCTCCTGTCCCTTGGGATCTTCATTAGGTCAAAAAGCCCTCCATTCAAGGCACAAAATCCCCAGCTAGGTTTATATACTTGTCTATATTTTATTGGAGGGGAGGGGATTAAGAAAAGAACTCTACAGTTCAAGGCCCTTTCATTTAACCTTCCAAAAACAGCAAACTCATTTTAAAGACTCATTGCTCAGGTGATAGGGAGAAAATTTATCCTCTCCAACCTTTACATTCTAGAAACCAGCCTTGTGTACTTGACTGCCCCAGAGAGTGGTGAGCTCTTAGGTTTCATTGTGAATGTGGACGATCAGAGCAGGGGAGGCCTGGGTGGGGGCCAGTGTTGTGTTTCTCACCCCCTCTGGAATGCCAAAGGCATGATATTGGGTGACCTCCTGGTCCCCAAGAAAATGTGATTTATTCTGAGGGCAAATTGCCAAGGGAGGACTGACCCTTGGGCAGGCTCAGCTGTCCCGGCAGAAGCTGAGTCACAGGTGTCTGGCGGTGCCCCAGCAGCCCTGGATTCACCCGACACCGGAATCCCACTTTTCTAAAGCCGCCTGTTGTTCTGAGGACTTCTGAACCCACAGCTTCGGCAAAGAGACTTTGTACCAAGCTGCCTCTGGACGACCAACACTGGAGACTCTGGCCTTACCATGTGGAAATAGTTTTCCTGAAGTCTGGAACTAATTTTGAGAAGTTTTTTTCTCAACACTTTTGTGTTTCTAACACTGTATCTTGACTGTGTAAATACCAACAAGGCTGTAAATAAATGCAGATGTAGATACCTTCTAGAAAAAGAAAAAAACATAAAAACAAAATCAAAAGTGATCCTGTGTAGCCTTCGTTGACAAATAAAAGACTATTTTGTGTTTAAAGGTGTTTGGTGGCCTTTGTTTGGAGATAGTGGCTTCCCTTGGCCAGTCCCAGCTGAGAACCTGTGCTCTGGCTTCCTGAGGACTTGTTATCAAGAGGACCTGGGATAAGATGAGTCATAGCCCCCAAAGTCCCTTGTAATCCTCCAGGTCACAGCTGTCCTAAAGAGGGATTTCCAGAGGGTCACAGAGACCTTGAGGCTTAACTTTGCAGCTGGATGAGATGTGACTGGAGCTACATGGCTCCTAGGACACAGCCTGCCCCCTCTGTCCTTGGAGAGGACAAATTCCCAGGGGCCAGAGAGCCAACCCTGCCCTAAAGACAGGGCCTGTGACCTACCAGTAGACACACAGATTGTCCACTATGCTAGTGCCTTCCACAAGGAGTATAACTGGTTGCACCTTTAAAATAAATGAATGTATATCTACCATGCAAATAATTGTGATCATATAGCACAAATAGAGAAAGAAGAAAATTCCTTTAGCACTGGGTTTCCCCCTCTGTGTGTTCTTCATATTTTGTTGTTATTGCTTTTTATTTAAGTTGTTGGTGTTGTATAATCACATCACACAAGTAATTTTTCAGCCGGCTTTTCTCACTCAACCTCACATCTAACCTATC